ATTCGAACCCGCCACCTTAGGTGTATGTGGCTGGTGCCTTAGCGGTTTGAGCCACAGGCACCGAGCCACAACATATTTTTAAAATGTATTTATTCTTTTATTTTTAAGTTTTTGTAGAGAAGAGGTCTTACTCTGTTGCCCAGGCCAGTCTTGAGCACCCGGACATTCAGTATGGACTTTGATTTGAATTTTAGAAACAGAAGAGGGGACACGGCGTTCGCTCCCTTGTTTGCTCATCCGCTGACTACTCAGTGAATGCAATTTCATGCCTCTGTGCTGTGACTTGGGAGCACCCTGTGGGCCCTCACCTCATTTTCTTCCCTGCTGCCCTTCTCCACAGTCCCTGCTTGCTTCAGGCACAGCCTAAATCCCTTCATCCCAGAAATGTCTGTGGAGTCACTCGTGCTTACCAGGGTTGCTCTGCAATCAGTGGTTCTCTCAGGGTGGCTGGAGTCCAGCCCTGAGCCCCTGGGGACACGGCAGAAGTGCACACCACCCCCACCCCCGTGTGCCAGATGGAGCCACTGCTGTGTGTTATAAGTGATTAATACACACTTGCAGAATGGTTGTTTACTTTATAGAATTTAAATTGTTTGATCAAAAATAATTATATGTTAATTTTTCTCCATTAGTTATTACGTAAGGCATTCGGAATGAGGACATGTGTTACTAATGTGTAGGAAACTTCAGAAGGTGAAGGGAAAGAGGTGTTTTGGTTAATTTATATGTGTATACGTGTACGTATGCACACACAGGTATATACATACACACACATGCATACATATTTTTGTCTATCAAGGTATTTTATTTGCATGAATATATTATATTCCTGGAAAAATAATCCCAGGGCTAGGTAGCTCATGCCTGTAATCTTAGCATTTGGAGGGTTTGAGTGGAAGGATGGCTCAAGCCCACGAATTTGAGACCAGTGTGAGTAACAGAGAATCCCAGCATTCCCTCCTGTGTGACTCTTGGTGGTCCCTGATGCCAGCTGAGGTGGTCAGGACAGTGAAAACAGACAGGTCAGGAGCAGACGATTCCTCTCCCTGGAAAGAGGGTTGATTTTTTATGGAGCAGTAAATAACCCTTTGCTGTAAGATTATAGTAGTGTATAGCAAACAGATCCTGTTTGCAATTGTGTGGCAGTTCCCCTGGAGGGAGTCTTGCCCTGGGCAGAACGCTCTCCTCTCTTGACCTGACTGCAGAGGCTACTCTGCTTGGTAGTGATTCCAGGCCATCTCCTTAATGCTGCTTTGTAAAAATTCTACTGTTGGCATAGACTTCTTCTGACTGGCTGGCTTTTTGCTAAATATAGTGGCATGAAGTCCATTAATTGGTTTCTAGTTAAAAGCAGCTTTTTTATACTCACATTTTTCTCCCTAAAACAGAGCAGAAAGGCATTTTTTTCCTTAGGTCAGATGCAGATGTGTCCCACTGTTTCAGCTCATGACAGCATCGCACTGGTTTTCTGTGGCTTCCGGTGTATGAGTTGAATCAGTGGCCTACCTTGTTGTTAAGACATCAAGCTATGTTAACTTGTACCAGAATCTGTTTAGTGGACATAAAGCTGCACCAAATGACAGGGTCAATAAGTTTACCTATTCACCTATTTATCTGTTCATGTCTTTTTTTTTTTTTTTTTTGCAGTTTTTGGCTGGGGCTGGGTTTGAACCTACCACTTCCGGCATATGGGGCCAGCGTCCTACTTCTTTGAGCCACAGGCACTGCCCTGTTTATTTATGTTTTTAGAAACAGGATCTCGCCCTGTCACCTAAGTAAGCTGAGTACAGTGGGACAATCACAGCCCACTGCAACTCAAAGTCCTAGGCTCAATGCCTTAGCCTTCTGAGTATAGGCACTTGCCACTATGCCTGGTTAATTTTTTGAGACAGGGTCTCATTATGCTACCTGGGCTGATCTCCAACTTCTGGCCTTGAGGGATCCTCTGGCCTCAGTCTCAAAGTGGTGGGATTACAGATGTGAGACATCTCACCTGCCCTAAACACTGTTCACCCTTTTAAAATTAATATTATTAATAGGGCTGGGCATGGTGGCTCATGCCTGTAATCCCAGCACTCTGGGAGGCCAAGGCAGGTGGATTGCCTGAGCTCATAGGTTTGAGACTACCCTGAGCCAGAGCAGGACCTTGTCTCTAAAAATAGCCAGGCTGGCTCGGCGCCTGTGGCTCAAGTGGCTTAGGGGCCAGCCACATACACCTAAGGTGGTGGGTTCAAATCCAGCCCGGGCCCGCCAAAACAACAATGATGGCTGCAACCAAAAAATAGCCGGGTGCCTGTGGTCCCAGCTACTTGGGAGGCTAAGGCAGGAGACTTGCTTGAGCCCAGGAGTTGAAGGTTGCTGTGAGCTGTGATGTCACAGCACTCTACCCAGTGGGATAGCTTGAGGCTGTGTCTCATAAGAATAGCCAGGCTTTGTGGCGGGCACATGTAGTCTCAGCTACTCGGAGGCTTAGGCAAGAGAATTGCTTAAGCCCAAGAGTTTGAGGTTGCTGTGAGCTATGACACCATGGCCTTCTACTGAGGGTGACAAAGTGAGACTCCTGTCTCCAAAACAAAACAAAAAAATACTTATGGCTCATGCCTGTAATCCTAGTACTCTAGGGGACTGAAGCAGGTGGATTGTTTGAGCTTAGGAGTTTGAGACTAGCCTGAGCAAGAGCGAGACCCTGTCTCTAAATAATAGCCAGGCATAGTGGTGGGCTCCTGTAGTCCCAGCTACTTGGGAGGCTGAGGCCAGAGGATTGCTTAAGCCCAAGAGTTTGAGGTTGCTGTGAGCTGTGACGCCAAGGCAATCTACTGAGGGTGACAAAGTGAGACTTATCTCCGAGGGAAAAAAAAGTCAATATCTAACTTAGCTCCTACTAAGCAAATACCACCCTGATACCAAAACCAGGAAAGGTCAGACAAAAAAGGAAACTACAGACCAATCTGCATATTATTATTATTATTATTATTTTATTTATTTATTTTTTTGAGACAGAGCCTTAAGCTGTCCCCCTGGGTAGAGTGCCATGGCTTCACTGCTCACAGCAACCTCCAACTCCTGGGCTCAAGCAAGTCTCCTGTCTCAGCCTCCCAAGTAGCTGGGACCACAGGCGCCCACCACAACGCTCGGCTATTTTTTGGTTGCAGCCGTCATTGTTGTTTGGCGGGCCGGGCTGGATTTGAACCTGCTACCTTAGGTGTATGTGGCTGGCGCCTTAGCCGCTTGAGCCACAGGTGCCGAGCCCAATCTGCATATTATTAATGAACATTGATGAAAAAATACTCAGTGAAATCTTAGCAAATATAATTCATCTACGCTTTAAAAAAAAACAGTTCATCACAACTAAGTGGGCTTCATTCCAGGGATGCAGGGGGTGGTTCAACATACTCACATGTAATTCACCACATAAATAAAAAGAAAGACCATATGATCCTTTTTTATTTTTTTGAGACAGAGCCTCAAGCTGTCACCCTGGGTAGAGTGCTGTGGCATCACAGCTCACAGCAACCTCCAACTCCTGGGCTTAAACGATTCTCTTGCCTCAGCCTCCCAAGTATCTGGGACTACAGGTGCCCTCCACAACGCCTGGCTATTTTTTGGTTGTAGTTGTCATTGTTGTTTGGCAGGCCCGGGCTGGATTCAAACCTGCCAGCTCTGTGTATGTGGCTGGTGCCTTAGCCACTTGAGCTAGAGGTGCTGAGCCTGATCCTTTTAATAGATGTAGAAATAGTATTGGACAGAATTCAGTGTTGGCGTATGTAGGACATTCCTTAAACTGATGGAAGGCATCTGTGACAAACCTACAGCCAATATCACACTGAACAGAGAAAAACTGAAAGCACTGCTCCTCAGAACTGGAACTAGACAAGGGTGTCCTCTGTCGCCACTACTCCTCATGGTGCTGGGAGTCCTGGCCAGTGCATCAGGCAAGAGAAGGATAGCAGGAGTCCCAAACCACAACAGAGGAGGTCCAGCTGTTGCTCTTTGCTGATTATATGATTTTATACCTAGAAAACCTCAAGGACTCAACTGTAAGAATTGATAAAGAAATACACCAGTGTCTGAGTTTATAAAGTTAGAATATGCAAATCAGTAGCCTTCATCTACATCAAAGACAGGCAAGCTGAGAATCAAATCAAAGACCTTCACAGTAGCATCAAAGAAAATGAAATACTTCAGAATATATTTAACAGGCTCGGCGCCTATAGCTCAACCGGCTAAGGCGCCAGCCACGTACACCTAAGGTGG